CCCTTCACCTCTTTTCTGTTTGAATGTTTGTGGTTGACATGGAAATAATTAGAGACTTTACAAACACTGGATTGCATGACACATCTGAAGGAAATAAGACAGGGCTAGTTAGCCATGACAGAGCTGCTGCTTACACACAAGATTTTGGCAGACCACACCAATGATAAAGGGAACTGTAGTTCACTAAGGTGTCCAGTGTTTTCACAGTTTTACTTGGGGGTGGTAGTGGATCTTCATGCAGAAGTGCTTAATCAAAGATCTAAATGAATTGTAGTTTATTCATATTGTGCTACGGCAGAGTAAAGTTCTTAATGAGGCACTAAAAAACAGATCATATTGTTACTGCCTTCAAAATTCAGGAAAAACAGCTATATGACAATTAATTACTATCCTTTATATGAATTTTAAGCTTATATTAGCGGAATATTTCATTTGTGACAACCACAAGCTGTAAACTGCTTCCACGATAACTCTTTGCAAATGCCTTGGCAGGCTGCCTGGTTTTTTTTCTTCACCATACTGGAGCCGTTAAAACTCTTGAAGAGTTGGATATAATGCAGGCTTCATCTCAAGAGTACTTAACGTTAGTTGATTCAATTCAGCAAATACAACTTGTGCCTGTGGGCAGACTGTGGTGCATTCCTGACTCTGTGCTCTGACCTGAATATGGATCTTGCTTCTTGGCGCTCAGCTGAGCCCAGTCCTGTCCATTCAGAGTAGCACAGTAATGGATCTGTCACGTGCATCAGCGCTAACCTAAGTGACAGAGGAGACCTGCAGCATATGGACCTTCCACATCTCTTGACCTCCTCCGTGCAGGCAAGACGATTAGTCTGCACATAGACAACAGGGCTGGTGATTTTTGGAAATGCTTTGTTAGGTTTCTCTCTCTTACGCGATTGCACCAGGAGCAAAAGTTGCCAAGTTTAGGCTGTCGGAACACACTACTGCAACTTCCCTCCACTTTCTTTCCTGGAGACAACATAGCAGGGAGCGTTCAGTAGACGGTAGGCCTTAGGAGTTGTTCTGGTGCTAGCAGCCTTCTTCCAGCTAAGAACTGGCTGCAAAATCTCTCGTCTAGTGTTGCTATGATAGATATGAGATATATCAGTTATTATTTACCTGCTGACCTTGATGGCTTGTATCGCTAACAGTTAAAAAGTTGTCATTTCATCAGTGAAGTGAGCAGATTTGTTCTGAAAGTGTTGAAGAGGATGATGTTTAAAAATAATAATAAATCAGTTCCTTCTAGGGCAGTATTAGGTCCCTAATAACCAGAAGAGAGTCTTGAAAGAGACTTTGTATATTTAAATATCATCTTGTTAAGCAAGTTACATTCTTTAAACGATGAACTACAGCAGATGTGATCCAACTTGGTATAGCCACATAACTTTTTCAGTCATCTTAAATTTCACTTTTCTTGTTTTCTGAAGCTAATTGTCTAGGCGATTACTTTTACAAACAGCTGTAATCCAGAGAAAAAAATTAATATGGCAATAGTTCATAGGCATCAGTGGCCAATCCACCTTCTACCTGATGTTTACCTGCAGATCCGATGCTGATGAATTACGAAGACCTGAAACTCTAAATTTGATGCAGGACAGAGAGCAACACCAAGTACTGAGGAATTATGTGAACAGGACAGAGAGGTAGGGAAGAAAAGCATATAGTTTCTGTTAAATAATTTTTTTAATTATCATTTTGCTAAATAACCATGGTAACCAACTGTCGCTTTATATGCGGATCATAGGAGAAATTCCTGAGTTGGTTATTTAATCAGCTCCTAGATGATGGTGGTTGAGTACTGGATGTGTCAATATAGTAAGCCAAACGTACAATCCTGTTGATGCATCTTGAGCTCTAGAAGAACTTTATTTCCGCTCCTGAAGCGTGATAGAAACTATTGTCCAGAATCAATCGTCATTGCAGCAGTAAGCTTAGCTTACTAAATTGTTGCTCTTCTAGAGTTAATGAATATTTTTGTATTGTGGACAACTGATACATGAAAACTTGTTTATATTTAAAGTAAAAAGTATACTTACTCTTTGGTGTTTTGTTTTGTTTTTTTTCCGTCAGACCCTTGGCTGATTCACCTTACTTTCTCTCTCTATCAAGTCACCACAGTCAGGTAACGCATTGAACTCTCTTGTTTTATTCTTTTGAATAAGCTTGACAGAAAAACTTCCTTTAGCCACAAGACATGGACAGTTTCTCTGTATTCCATCTTTCCTTCCCTTTGTAGCTCTATCTTTACAGCCTAGTGCATTGTTTTTTTCCAGGTGCCTAATGCAGACCCTGAGCTGCACCGCAGGCACATAGAGCGTACCCGTCGGGAAGCCCAGCTAGCAGCACTTCAGTACGAGGAGGAGAGGATGAGAACAAAACAGATCCAGAGAGAAGCTGTCCTTGACTTTGTTAAAGTACCTCCTTTTAATACCCATTTGATACCAAACCTTTGCCTTTTCTGGTCCCTCAGTGAAAATTAACTACCGAGAGCATTAACGCTTGTACATTGCACCCTTGGCCATGCATGTTATTTTAGAAAGCAAATGGAGAAACAGCATTGATTTCCATTCAGAGTTGGTGCTATAGCTTAACGTAGACCAAACTAGAATTAGGGGGGAGTACGGAATAGATTCCCTTAAAATATGATTGTTGTAAAGAATTCTGTTTCTGTGTAGTAGACCTCTCATTCTCCCAGTTCTTCATCTGTAGAGATGTGACAGGGTTGGTATAAGAAGGGAGGAGTCTTTATTTGGGAAAGCTCAATGAATTTTAAACAGAAATTTGACAGAGAAGAAAGCAGTCGTACACACAGGAAGATAATGTTGCCTGACCTATTTCCATGTTTTATGGTGCAGAAGTAAGTTATCTGCAGGTGAAGGAAGGGTGCAGACTTTTGACAGGTCAGCTGCTCGGTGAACACTGCTTCTGCTTTCTCTTTCATTGCAGCCAGCGTGAAGTAGTGTGCTACTCTTTTGTAATTTCCTCTAATCCATAATACACTTTACCATGCAAGCTTGTTTATATGCCGGTTGACTTAGATTTGTCTTGCTGTTTACTGCTCTGGTGACCTATCAAATCTTGTCATCACAAATTCAAGAAATGTTACAGTTAAGACTTTGGGATTAGGATGGTCTGCAAAGAGGAAAAGAATATTATATTGCGTCAGTGTGCTGTATGATGTTATTTTAGGAAAAGGTTTTTAGCTGTCCGAAACTAGGCTTTTCATTAATACCAACTCATCTCAGACCCCGGCAATGGTTTGCAGAAAAACCGCCTTTAATATAGATTCAGCTCAGTCATTTAGTTGAAGGCTTTCAGGTGTCTAGGATGCATTTTGTTCATTGACGAGCCTTTTTTTGTTTTTTATTCTGTTGTCTTTGTTATTCATGAGCACTTTATTTGCAGCAATGATATTCCTCCCTTGAGTTATATTTTGGGTTTATTATGTATCTTTAATATGCAAAAACAATGTGGTGATTTTTTTGCTTTTCCATGGCATAAAGGCTATTTGTTTGATTAGTAATATTTGTGAAGTTTCAGCTCAGAGAAACTTGTAATTTCCCCAATGCCTATTTTATTTAAAAACTAAGACTTCCAGTGTTTTGAAACACTCCTAAGTGCCGCTGTTTTGTTCTGAGCTTGTGATTCTCTGTCACGTCCTTTTAAATTGGTCTTTTGTTTTTCCTTTTTCTCTATAGCAAAAAGCATCCTTAAGTCCTCAGAAGCAAAGTCCTCTGGATAGTGAGGTAAGACTCCTGTAAGAATTTTGCTATGACTGGTAGCATCTTAATTCTTAGCTCTCTCCATCAGAAATATTTTCCTGATTATGAAGAACTTTTCAGTCCTGGGCTACAGCACAGATTTTTTCACACTTAATAAGCAGTGATCCCATAAGCAAAGACATCAGTTTGATGTGTTATTTCCTTGTATTCACGTAGATTGCCTGTCTGGGAGTGTTTCATTTTTGTTGTGGTGTTTTTGTGTTTTCTGTGTTCTATATGGAAAATACATTCCATGTTCCATTTTAAGATACTCCTTGGAAGCAGTGCAGTTAACTTTCTACAGGATTATCAGCTGAGTTTTTGTGTTTCAGTCATTTCTCCTTCGGTGATTGGTTTTCTGCTATTTTGCTATCTTTAGATTACTAGTTATTCCAGAAAAATTAAGCATTAGAATTGTGAGGGTTATCAGATAAGAGGGGGGAAAAAAGCTTTATTTTAGTGTAGTTTTACAATGAAAGTAATAACCAACTAGACGGGGGGAAAAATCATATGAGGCTCAGTCTTCTAAAATATACAGACCTGAGCCAATGACACCTATTCACTTTCCGAATCACGTTTCTGTATAGTAACAGTTGTTCCTCTACCTGGCATCCCCACTTTCCTCTACAGGAAGATAATTCACCAGGCAGTGTTAATCAGATCAAAGACTTCAATGTAATACATTTTAAAAATACTACTCTAGAAGCATTTTCCAACTTATTTTTTTTTGTTTGAAAATTACCCAGACTTGGAGTATTTGAAATTTTTTGCTCCTGTGCTTTCTTAATGTTCTTCTGTTCTTAACTTACTCTTCCAAAGGATCCTTTGTTCTACTGCAGTAAGAATTGTGAATACATAGTTGTCTGAATTTTCGTGAGACAACACGGAAGCAGAATAATTAATTCCTGAAGCAATAAAAATACACTGTAATCCGTGGGTCATGTGGCTATGTATTCCTATGCTTTCTTACCTTTACTTACATGTACTGTGTGGAACTGTGGAAAAACTGTCTCAAAATGCGATGAACAGGTCATACGTATTCCAGAATGTCTGTCTGTTCACATACTGTGTCATTCTGTGTGTTTCTGACATAACTCCATCTTTCCCACCGCCCAGTGTCCCTTTCCATCCAGAAGGTCTCAGCATACTGATGATAGTGCCTTGTTAGTGGTAAGAATCCTGCACGTAATGACCTTTTTATGTGGCAGATTATAGAACATAAAAATAACAAGATGATTGTCTCCGATTAAACCAACTATTTTAGAGCTAATCTAAATAGCATAAAATATGACCATCTTTGAAAAATGGCTTAGCTGTGAAATTTGATACCATGAATATTACTATGGCAGTAGCAGTACTGCTAGCATTTCAGTGGTAAAGTAGTGACGTTTTTCCATAAAATACATAAAGCTTATTAGCTTTTGCTGAGAGCAGAAGGTAATTATTGATAACGAAGACCAGCTTCTGAAATTCAAAATGCGCCTCTCGTAGTTCCAGTTTGATTCCTCCTGTGTTTAACTTGCATCCTAATTGATGGGCTCTTCGGTGTTAAGTAAATAATTTTAATGCTTCGAGTATAGCCTTGTACTTTAACCTGTTTACATAATACACCCAGTGATTAAAGAGACTTAGTATCTCAGGAACCATGTCATAACACAGGAAAAACTGCTCTTCATATCAGTGCTACAAATCATGAAATATTCCTTATACATTTTCTTTGCTTATCAGTGACGAAATCTAAAAATAATCTATTTTGGACACTAGAAAAAGTTAAAACATTTATGTACTCAGTTCATGTTTTATGCTATTTCTTCCTTTATGGTATCGTAGCGATGTAGCATAATTAAAGAATGTAATGCTATAATCCTTGCCTATAAGAAAAAATCACCAGATTTGCCTGCTGTTGCATGACTGCATGCCTGGGATTTATTTTCTCAATTCATGTGCTTCTGTGATCTGCCTGAACTTTCATTAGGCAGTGCTCTCAGGTAGAATATATGTCATCAGAACATGTTGGTCTGGATATTTACTGTCTCTCTGTTCAGATTTTTTTGGTTTTCCTGCTGTTGCCTCACTAGCACTGTGTGGGGGAGAGAAGGCAAGCTCATATAATATCAGAGTGCGATCCGGTTGTGATCATGCGTGTGCCTATTCAGAGAAATCGCAGTCAGCATATAAAAATATGCTTTCCTACTTATGTAAGAAGAAACAGAAGAGAAAAGAAGTGACTTGTGTTAAGTGTTGCTATTCTGTTGTCAGCGAACTCATCTTTGGAATGTATTTTAAAGATGCGTGTCAGGACCCCATTTCCATTTGATTATGTGATCCCATTGCTTTTGTAGTAAATCAATATATTGAATTTTAGGTTACATACATGCCTTGGAGTTTTCAGAAATTGTTGGTCTTCCATCACTGTTGATTTCTTTTATGTCTTTACTCGAATTACATCCTTGCCCTTCACAGAGTTGGCCAGGCTGATAGGGAAGGATTGGATCGGATTTGAAAATGATCATCTCTTTATTCCTTTTTCTTCTGATTCCTTATTCTTTTCAGCAGCACTTAACAATAATAGTATATGACATGCTGAGTTTTCTGAATTTTTGAAGCAAGATCTTCAGATTTATTTTGTAGTGGAAATATATACTGTGTCTAATGATGACATATGCCGGGACAGCTGTTTCTAGCAGTTACTAACTGGAACAGTAAAGCCCTTGCTAGCTCATGAATTTGTAGCATTTTTTTCCCCATGAATATATTTCCTATAGTAAGAACTTGTTCAACAAGAAAATGTTCATTAGTTTGCTAGGAGTTTAAATTACTTTTAACCTTTTAAACTCTGTTGCATTTCACTTGATGCTTCCCTGTCTTTATGGATTTGAGATTTGGCTAGATCTTATTTTTGAGGATGATCTTTTCCTCCACTGAAGCGTAGGGGCATTTCACATCGAAACTCCATTCAGTAATAGGAGTTTTCAGTACTCGTTTTCCATGTAAGTATAATTTCTCTGTCTTTCTCTCTCTGCCTAAATACCGAATGTGCTAGTATAAACCGTACCTCACACGGATTTAATTTTTGACATTTGAACTTGCAGATAATTTAAACACACACACACACACACACACACACACACACACTCTTGTGTTGTTAGGTTTTGCACTGATTGCCCTAGCTTTATGCTGTGGGAATAATGCTTTGTGGCAAAGCAGAGTAGAATGTTATGCAGAAATACAGTAAAAGACCTTTTGTTCAGTATTTCCCTCATTACATCAGAGCTCTATAAATGGAGCAGTTGCTTTTCTTTTGCTCCAAACAATGTTTTCACCTCAGATGTAAGGAAGAGATAGAAAAACAAGTTTAATGGAGTAGTTAGAAGGCAAGTGACTATCTTTTATTTTGTTTCTTCTCTCCTCTGGTTCTGTTACTGCTTTAATGGAAATTTTCTTGAAAGCAGGATTTAAATTGTGAGTCATCTTTTTAAATTTTGTATCACCTTTCCTTTGGGCTTCTCTGTATATGTTGCCTTTTGTCACAGATTAAAGTTAAAATGGGTTCATTTGTTAGTGAAAATCTAAGACATTTCACAAGTTACTCCATGATTATTTCATTCCATTTGAAAACGCTTTTTGAAGAGGGTGTTCAAACTCGAGAAACAGCTACGCACACCTTCTGTGAACATCAGTAACTCGGTTCGGTTGTATGTTCCATGCCCTGCTTGCCATTCTCGTAAGAGTAGTCCCATTGGTGATCATTGAGATTACCTGTTGAGAAAACATCAAGGCTGCAGACTTGGCTAATGATTTCAGCCTGGAGTGCCTATGAATCCCATCTTTCCCCAAATATCTTCTTGTTTTTCTCTCTTACTGTCCCTTACAAGGCAACTGCTATGGGGGGGAAAAACCCCAAAGGCCCCGTCCTTTCTTGTCTCTCAGACTGCTTCTCAGTTTCCCTCGGTCATGAGGCCCGCGAAAGCCTTGATAAACATCAGGCAGCTGGTGCATCCTCTTCCGAGCAAAACCCGTGCGTCACTGTTACCTTGTGCTCCCCCCGCGTGGCGTTTTCTCGCTGTGGTCTCAGCCAAGGCCTGAGACCGTCGTATCAGCGTTCAGCACCTGAAGTCACTGATATGCTCTAAACTGAGGCTTTTAGGTGCTGCCGTACTGCAAATAATAAAGGTATGAGTAAACTCAGCAGGGCTTGAGTTATACTGACTTGTGCCCTGGAGTTTTCTCTGACAGTTGGCATCCATTTCTGTAGTCAAACGCGTAATAATCGAATTCACTTAAAATATCTTTATTTGGTTAGGGCGGATTTCTGGTTGGGCTCCGCTCTGGCAAACCCTATGTCTACAGTTGTTTCTGGCGAGGGAATGTTTCTCTGACTTCAGTGCTAGACCTGGAGACAGAGTGCAGCATGTGCGGTAGTGTGTTGTAAGCCTGAATTGCAGCATCCTGGTTCCTTTTGTATTGCAGCAGCCTTTTCTGACAGTTGTTCTCTGCCTCACTTCTTCCTCTCTTCCCTCCCTTTCTTTCCTTGCTGTCCCTGACAGAATGGCTTTGAGCCTCTCTTTGTGTTTGAGATTGACAGTAACACCAATACCATTAAAAGGCGGCCAGGGACTCGCAAACAGGTGAAAAGCATGCAGCGTGTTACCGTTGTGATTGTCGTACCCTGTGGTGTGCTGTCTTCCCCTTCCCTTTGCCCACTGGTGGATCTGTGAACTGTGACTATTCCTTTTTGTTAGTCTATATCAAGGCTGTCTTGTTCTTTTTATCTAGAAGTAAACAGTTCTGTTAACTTTACAGACCACAGGTTTCTGTTTCATTTTGTTTTTTCTCAATGCCAGTTAAGGTTTTTTTATTTGCTTAAGTCAAGTGATTTTTTTTTTTTTAACAAGCTACACTGCTGTGGAGAAGAGACTGTCTAGAGGATCAGCAACCAAGTCTACATAATTCCTAAAGATGTTTGTGTTTAAGGCTTGCCCAGCGTATAACCTCTCTTTGCAGGCCTTCCTGGCTGTGCTTTTCTGAAGAGGCAGAATAGCTGGAAATCTTTTAAAACGCTGACAGCCAAGGAGTGTGACTCGCACCTATAGACTTCCTAGGTGTCATATAGTGGGCTTTTTTTGTATGTTGAAGTGCTACTTTGCTATTTGAATGCTGTTTCAGAAAGTGTTGTTTCCTTCTTGAGTCATTCAGTCCTCAAATGTTCGTTTTGTTTGTATTTTTGATAACCAGAGGGATAAGAAGTAGTTCACACAAATTTAAAAGGCAACATTTGCATTTTTATTTCAAGTGCCTGGGATATTTAGAACCCCAAGTATCCTGCTTTGGGCCTTCCTGTGATTTAATTTTTGCGTGGGCAACTGGTTTGTGTTTAGACAGCAGACTTTTGTAGTAGACGTTGTTTCCCACAGTCTGTCATGACCTTGCACCTTAGCAGCAGTATTGACTGAGGAATTCATGGAGAGACCAAATTTGGCCCTTTAGATGCACCCATCGCTGACAGATGGGTATTGGCAGGTTGGAGCTCCCATTCTGGACACAAGAAAAGTAGCTCGTTTGTTTGACCTTGGTTCTAATTGAAATTTCTCAGCACTTTATTTGTGACAGTGCTGTAAATCTTCACACCGACATCTTCTCCAGGAGCTAGTTTCCACCTGCAGAATCACGTGTGCTTTGTTTGCTTGTGCTTCGCAAAGGTCAGCATTAGGCGGTAGTGGCAGACCCAGAGTGTCTCTGTATTCCTGAGCCTGTTAGATGTGGGCCTCTCTGCATTCACAAAGTTGATAAGAAAACCTGCTAAAACTGCATAATGTGTTTGAAACGTTGTATGTTTGAAATGTGTCAAAAAGAAAGCTGTTTATTTTGAATAGTGGCTCTGGATGAACTGTTGTAGGGTAGGCTTTCCTTTTGGGGCCAGTCTGCTGGCGTGGGCGCTGTGTTGGTAAAGAAGCTCTGACCTCGTTTATTGTTCTTAGTTCTGCTTCTGATGTCACTGTGGTGCGCGTAGAAGAAACATGCCACCTCCCAGGCTTATTAGCCAGAAAGTTTGGAGGACAGGAAGGCTGTAACTGTAGTTCATCAAGTAAATATCTGTTGTTCCTGTCTTCTGCCCATTGATCGTTTCTGAGATTGTGACCACCTCTTCCTTCCTTATCTGTCTACTGTGTTCCGCCTCCGCACGTGACCTGTCAACTGTTTGCTAACACTACTGTTGCCTTCTCTTTCTTTCTGTGTTCAGTCGCTCTCAGGGTTGAATCAAGAAGGCTGTGCTACTACCCTGCCTAGTGCCTCTACGTTCAGACCTGTCAAGGTATCTCTTGCTATTATCATTCACCAGTAAAGCCAACAAAAAACTCTTCCATCCACACATCTCTTTTAACAGATGTTAGTCTGTCAGCTTCTAACCAGAAGTTCAGGCAGGGTATGAACCTGATTTACCTGATTAAATTATAGTAGATCTTACCTCATTTTAGCTTTAGGCTGTGTATACAGGAGGCCTAAATCATACCAACATGCTAACCAGACTCTGTTCTGAGGGGTTCTTAGTCATCTTTGATGTTGCGTTTTATTTACAAGATGATTTTCTCTTGACCAAGTTGAGTTCATCAGAAGTACTTTTGTTGTATTCTTTACCAGCTTACTTTTACCACTGAATACAGTTATACTATATTTCTTTCTCCTCTATGGAAACTGCTATACTGAATGTATTCATCACAAGAAATCGTAAGTCTGTGGAAGCACTGTAGTAAAGCCACAGTGTATTTCATTAGGGAGAGTGAAGTTCAGTAAGCAGCAGTTTTGCATTAGCAGAGATGTAGAAAGAGGCGGCTGTGTCGTCTTATCAGTGGGGCTATTAACGCAAGTTCTTTGTGTGCTTACCTGTTTGTCAGTGTCGTCTTAGCAAAGGATACTTTGAAAGTTTTTGGTTGGAAGGAAGAGTAAACAAAGATCTGTCACTGCACTGTCAATGCCGTTTCATAATTCTTTTTCCTGAAGGAAGAAGAATTGTGTAATTTCTGCAAAAGAAACTTTCTTGTAACTTTCTGAAGAGATGAGACTTGGAGAACAACATGTTGGTGTTTTTCACGTTTCTGTTTTTCTCTGAAACATACTTGGATGGATGGAGCCTTTTTAAAAACAAAGCAAACTAAGTTGGTCACAGCTTTTCCAGATTAGGATCATTTATACTCTTGCTTTTTTGTCCACAGAGTGATGACAGATCGACCATCTCTCCCAGCTCACCTACCACTCAGACAGGTAACAGGGAAAGGAAGTAACGTCTGAAAAATAAGATTAAAACGCCTGCTTGCACACTTGTACTATTAGAGCAGGGAGCATAGATTCCTGCCTCTGTATGTGGCACTGCTGTGTTTGAGAATCTATCCAGTTATTTGGGTCTGTTTAGAAACACATGAGTAAACAACAACAGGGATGAACAGGGAGAGAGTAGGATTTGGCTGTTTCAGCCCTTCCTATAGGCCTTCTGTGTCCTACAGATGTGTTCAGCACCAGTTAGAACAGTTGTTGGAAGTGGTATGCGGCATGTGCTTTGCATGCAGGTGTCCTTGGAAGTGCCTTTTCCTGCTCTGTGCTTTTATCATGCATGGCTGTAATTTATTTTGTCATTATTATATTAAAATTTTGTTTTGTTCTTTTTAATTACCACATTGCTGAACCCATTTCCTATTAAACTCTAACTGTTTCCTTCTTCCTCCTTTCCTTTCCTGTGCCTTTCCACATTTGTTTAGTCCACCTTTCCCCTCCATATCCTGGCCCTGCAGCCCCGCCTTCCTATAGAAACCCTTGCCAGCGACCTGCGAGTTTCCTTTTCCAAGCAGCTGTCAGGGATGAAGCAAACAAAGGTAGGTTACATAGTTTAGAAATGAGCTAGTTTTGTTACATGATACTAACATCTGCATTACCTAGGTTTTGCACGGTTCTGCTATTTCAGGTCACTATTATCAAACTAGTTTTAGAGTTCCATTTGTGGATACCTGACTTTAAATTTAGAAGAAATACTTTCTGAATAAGCAATTATTTAGAGTTGTCAAATACTCTTTTGTCATAGTTATTTAAATGTGGGAATTTGTTCTTAGGGTTTGTGCTTACACCTAGAAGGATATCAAGGAAATGCCACACAAGCTTCCAAAAAGTTATGAAGGCAGCTTGATATGTTTTTCGCTTGTAGCACGTAACAAAATTACAATGTTTATAGGAAGATGGAGCTATTTCAACATATTTAGTGTTTAAAAAAATTGTCCTCTTTTTCTGAATGATTATTAGCCAATGGAAAGAACAGACTCTAAACAGAAAGCAAGATCTGTTACAGAAACATGTCATTTAGATTATTAGATCGTTAAGCTTGGTAGATTAATAATCCAGTGAAGGAAACGGGTTTGTGAAAAGGAGTGCACTGCATCCACCTGGCATGTTGTGCGTGCACATGTAATGTAGCAGCAAAGGACAATCAGCCAAACCAAG